TGCTTTGATTCCACTTTCCTTCTCTCTTCTTTTCTTTTCTCCTCCAGCCAGTGGCAGACTGGGACCAAAAATCTGCATTTCTAACACACCAGCACACTTTTTTTCTTGAGGCCCCCACACCGGCCCATTTCTTTCCTCGAGGCCCCCACACCGGCCCATTTTTTCCCTTGAGGCCATTATTATTAGTCGGATGTTCATCAGTTTGCGCAACAACAAAAAACATGTTAGACAGGCCCACTTGGCTAAAAATGGACCAGCCTATCTGGCATTTGCCCGAAATGCCAGATGGCCAGTCCACCCCTGCCTCCAGCTCTGAGAGGGAAGCAGAAAGCTCAAGCTTTCATTGTTTGCTGAGATTGGGATCCCTGCGCCCCTGACCCAAGTTTGTAGTTCTTCCCATTTTATTGGGAAAATGATTAGCGTGGTTATCTCCCCTCCGCACTGCAAAGCATTTCTTCCTCACTCTCCCCAAATCATACCTTCAGACTAGGAAGAAGGAGAAGATTTGCTGTACAGGACATTGCCATGGGAAAGACTTGACTCACTGTTTTTCCCCGCACTCCTTCCCTCTATATTTTCTTCTGATATTTCAATTGTCTATCCTAAATGTTTCTGTAGCACTGTGTCAGAATCCAAATTCTTGTTTTTTTTCTCTTTCCTGTCCCCTTTCCCACCCTACCGAATGATATGGTAGAGTAAAGTGTGTTGTTCTTGACTCTGTTTTGTGTGTGACAGAACGGAGGGCATATACTTGGGTGAGAGAGCCAGGGTTAGGGTCTGTTTTACCTTGGTTCACAGAGGTCATCCAACCACCCCCATGGAGTGATAACCCACCTGGATGCACCTGTCCTAGTTTCTACCCCTAGCCCACCATACTGAGTGAATATATTCACCTTTACAGTTCATCCACAGCTTAGTTGCAAATGTTCAATAGTAGGCTATGTGATAGTATCATGCAATTTTACTGTTAGTCTGTATTTTTAATCAAATATGAATAACAAATGCTTACTTACTTTCTTTCACTCCATTATTATAGGTCTATGGGTATAGTGGGAATGTATTGTTCACAGCAACAGTGCAGCCATTCATGGCCTATATTTAAGCTGAATTTGGTCCAATCAATTTTGCATTTATTAATTTCATTTTCTAACAAGTATGGGAAACTTCACTTGGATTTTTAAAGGTTGTGGACATCAAATTACAATAAGAAGTTATAATGATTCAGTTTTAAAGAAATACATCACAAAACAGTTATTAATTTGAAATTCAATTGGATATGCACTTGCTAAATGGAAGAAATAGCCTCAAGTCTTTTATTAGAACTGTCCATAAGGAAAAGCAAAATATGCTATTCTGTTTTGCATTTATGTATGTTTTCCATCCTCCAAGGCTTCCCCTGGATTCAAAAACTTGTGAAATAACGTTGCCTGTTAATTTAGAAGGATGTGGTAGCCCAATCTAGAGTTATAATACCGATTGAAAAGGCACTGAGAAAATACATCTAGGAGAAAAGACTATTGCCCACAAATTGCGCTTTGATTGAATCTTAATTTCATCTGAAGGTTGTTTTGTTTAGTTTTTATTCTGAGTCAATGAGCTTAATCAGAGTCAGTGATCATCTGGGTCTAAGCCTCCCCGTGTTGTGTTTTTGTTTGTCGGGAGCTCAACGAGACTCTATCCGCACTTCATTAACCCCGAGCGGGGGACAATCCGCGGTAAGAGCCGAGGGATTTGCCCGTATCCTTTCACATGCAAAAATATCCGCGTCATCCATCAACACAGGGAGCTTTCCCTGTAATCAGCTGCGCACTTCGCAAGAATATCCCTTTTCATAAATGTTGAGGGGGTCATCTTTATTTGAATCGGTCACGGATCCATATGATTTTTTGGCAAGTTGGGAATTTCGTGGGGGTTTTCCTCTCCCTTTTTTCCAAGTCCCACCCACCTTCAGTGCGATGTACCTAGACATAGAATATTTCTCAGTTATAGCAAATGTACGCAATATAAATGTGTCAATTAGTCAAAGTCAGACTAATGGGCCTATTTTATGAAGAGATGGTCAATGGGAGAAGGGAGAACATGTGCCATGCGAGCGGTGCAGCGGGGGTCTGAATATCACACCCATTATCGACCTTCAATTAAACGCTATTAAAGTATTTTGTCTAATCGTTAATAGCCCGTTCGTCAGACTGAACTACCCAACCATCCTTTATGGTCTGATATTTCGGTTGGTTTAAAGTCAGACTCCTATTAGGAGTGAGGTTGGGCCGACGGGTGGGGGGCTGGTAGAGCAGGGCCATGCCGAGCCGCTGACCAGATGTCCCCTCGCTGATCCGGCCCACAGTCAGCATCCTCGGTCACCAGCTGTTGGAGCTGTTTGGCAAAGAGCACAGCACCAACACTCCAAGAAAGAGGCATGGAAACAATCCATTTCCAAATGGGATCATTTAAGGCACTTAAACAATTGCACTAGCCTCGCATTAATATTTAATCTGCTTATCGTTTATGGAAAAGGAATTAAATGGCATTCTTAATTCAGTTTGCCTACTGTCTACTGTATTAGCCTATTTGCAACATGTAGGCTATCCCCTAGCTGAATTAATTGACTTCTTTTACCAATGATCGTCTCTCGATCCAATTGCTCAAATCCGTAGCAGACTATTTCATGATTTTTTATTTGGTATGGACCTATGTTAGGTTTAACCGAGTCCACTTTTGAGACATGGCTGTTGTGTGTGCGTATGTGTGTGTGTGTGCGTGTCTGTGTGTGTGTGTGCGTGCGTGCGTGCGTGATCAAGCATGCATATATTTAATTGTCTGTGTGTGTTTTTTATTATATACACATTCCCATCAATGTATATTTTTGACAGAACTATTAGCAAATCCTAAGGTGAATGAACGTTGAAATCCATATTTCTTTATACCAAATATATACCAAAACACATTTCTAGTCATAACTTACTAGATAGGAAAAAGTTTTAGATATCAAGGCAGAATTAGCCAGCCAGCCTACATTTCCCAAATTGAACTCTCACCACTCCGAATCTTTGGATAAATATCCAGGCATTTTTTAAAGGTTAAGGCGGTGAATGTTTCTTGCTCTGATGGTGACATTCTTATTAACTTTTTCAGGTTTGACAAATTAAATCCACGATACTAACCAAATAGTGAGGGGGTGTGAGGGAAGTGTTTGACAGACATGTTCAAAATTATTCAAACATGGTGCTTCTAATAGAATTCTACGAACCTTAATTAGATTTTATCAGGCATACTTGGCTGATTTATCACAGGCTTACACGTTGGCTCTCCTTTGTCGCAACAGAACATGTTTTGTTGTTTAACTATCAAATATGGCAAATTATTATTTTTGTTTGTAATTACATTGTATGACATTAAACTATACATCAGAAATGTTACTCTATGTGTGACTAATGATCAATGCGATTAATTAATCAATTGATAAGGTGAAAAGTGAGCCTTTGACACGAGCAATGATTGCATGCAGGACCATTTTCGTCCATTTCTTCTTTAGAGAATAGGACGCCCCTTACCAGACCTTGAATAACCCAACTTTCCTCGGATGTAGGCCTATTCATTCCCTCTTGCAAAGGAAGCCGTTTACCGTTTAAGAACCAAACGGAAGCAACGGAACGAAACGTGAAGGGACCTATACCTTCATTTGTCCAATAAAAACTCTTATTTTCATTTTAAAACATTTTCAGTTTGGAGTCCTTTTAATTTTTTTGCAACAGACGAAACGTTTGCAACAGCTTCGGCAGTAATGAATACACCCCCTGGTTGATGTTGTTGATGATGTTGATGATGATGATTAGCCTACTTGTATTCCAATTGCAAAAAAAATTGTGGCCCTGTATTTGTCAATCATGGATTTGGCAAGATATAGCTGAGTCACGTTATTACATGAAATACCTTTATTTGCACATATATAAAAGTAATTATTTTTTACTTCAAATCCCCCTCTATAGCTCCGATTTAAGCTGTTTGAACAGTTTGACAAAAAGTTATTTCAGCTAATGGGGGCGAGGAACGAAAAACGATCCAGAAATACGAGAACCACTCCACAAATTAATATCTGCAATACACATTTTCACCAAAGAGAGTAACAAGGTTTCCACGGTTTGATACGAAATAACATAAGTAATCCACAACGTCTGCTTAAATACACCTAGCAAATCAACAGGCGAAAGACCCAAATTGGCAACCGACTCAGTCTTCAGTCATTATCTGTTTAGCAAAAGTGAAGGGTTTGCAAGGATACATTGCTACTTGATAAATTGAATTACCTCTTACTCTGACTTCAAATTGTATATAATTGGGCTGTTAGCTAAAACTTCAACTAAAAACATTATGATTAGACATTTTGAAATACATTTCGTTACAATTTGGTATTTTATGTTGTTTCTCTCATGGAGTTTCATTATTCCCATCCAGATTACCACTGAAATGATAGGAAATTAGCCTTTTATCTCTGGCTAATCTATAGCTTTTTGTACTGGATCACTGTCATCTGAAGGAAAAAAAAAATGGATGAATAAAAAATATCTTCATATCAAGATACTTTTTTGAATAAAATTCTAAATATTCGTATTTACATGTCTATAGCCTATGTCTGGTGATTATTATTTTCATCGTTTGTAAAAAGTGAATGAAACTCAACTCGTCTTTGTGAAGAGAAATAGAACGAAATCATCATTGTCATGAAATGCCTTTGGATCATCTAATTAGCTATTCAACTAAACTTGGAATGCTATTTCAGTTTGCAGACCAATGCATTGGTTTGTTATGCATGTTTTTTATATAATTGTATCCTGACAACTTAGCCTGATAATAATAATAATAATAATGATAATAATAATAATAATATTTTCATGATTCTGAGTAAAAGTGCCATTGCCATAAACCTTGGTGCCAACAACGATTATTTCAGTAAAACCATCGTGCCCTTTCTGATGTTGCCCACACTGAAGATATGGTAAGCAAAAATATAAATATATAAGTTAAATGCATAGAGAAAAATAAATAAATAAATAAATAACTTCAGTATGGTAAAAACCTGTCCACTTTAGAGAGTTCGAGATTCAGTCATGAAGTTCATTGTTTAATGCCATGACTTCTTTTGTCACCATTTTAGATCGTTTTTTTTTTTCTCTATCACATAGAGTCCTAGTCTGCCAGGTATGGCATATATCCGGAGCGACCGGCTCACCGCTGCTGTGTTGGCCGGGGAAGCACACCGGAGAGAGGGGGGAGAGGGGGTGGTTCACTACCACCCTGCAGACCATGCAGAAGAATCCGCGGAACGAGAGGTCGTTGCAGAGCCGGAGGGGGCGCTGAGGGGCCTCTGTACAGGTAGAGCGCCGCTCCGGGGTCCAGGTTGGACATCAGGCTTTGAGGGTAGAAATAGGGTGAAGGAAACATTCTCTGAAGGGCTGAGTAATTTCCAGCCTCCGCTAACAGTTCCAGTCCAACCGCCGTCTGCCTCTTCCACTTTGTTCTATTCGGACAAGAAACAGTGGATATTAGTAATTGAAACTCTCATCATAAAGTTATAAACAAGTTTGAAAAGTGCAGTTAGAATCTTTTTATTATAGGACTCTAAAGTTTAGAATTCAATCAAATCTGCACTGAGTAAAATGCAGTTTGGGAAAACCCGTTGAAATATCAAATAAGATAGGCTGCATGGTTCAATTTAAACGAAATTTGTTTTTTCGTAATGGATTTAGGCCTGCTTTGTAATAACAAGCGTTACCAAAATGTGGTGTTTTAAGTGCAAAATTGATGTTCAGTCGGAGTCAGTTGGAAACATCTGTAGCCTACGCAATATTACAGCGTGCATTCACTTTCGGTTGGGATCGTATTGGTTTCATCATGTGGTCTGAAATTAGTCTAATTATTTTATGTTTCCAAGAAAGATCTAAATTGTGGTTGTACCCAGCTACGCACTTCAGTTATTCTGATAAATCAGTCCTCTGTCACTTGTATTCACGTGGCGGAGGGTTAATCTGTCAGATTGTCAATTGAAAAGCACTCCTCAATCAGGTAAATTATTCATAATTATAATCATTGAGTAAATATAGTAGCGTGGCTGAATTATTGATATGGCATAGTCCTACATGAATCGATATATTATTCATGCACCAAAGTGTTGTTTTTATACCTATTTATTAATATCGTTTTGCTGTCTGAATGTCTGAATGATTAAAAACAATCTAGTCTCTAGTCTAGTAGAAGGCTATTTGTCAGTATTTGAATCACATTGTTCAAAGGTTTCATGCAGTGCCAAATTGCCAGTATTTTAAGATGGTTTTGTTTTTATTTCTGTTCTATTTTCTCCTTTATTCTTAAGGAATTGATGCAGTGTGGAAAATTTTTAAGAAAGAAATTGGACCTCATATGTGACCAATGAGTTTGTCTAACTGACATGAGAAAATATATAGTCTGTCTGGAGGTGAAGAGCGTTTACCCTAAAATCCTAATGACAGGTGCAGGCGTGCACACACACCATTGTTGGCCTACTAGGCTTACTGCATTCTACCATTAGGCACTATCAAAATACTTTTCGTGATTTTAAATTGGTATAATTTGTGTAATTACACTAAAGACAACCAAGCGTCGCAGTGCTTACCTCCTGTTCTGGTACCAGGTTTTGACCTGTGTGTCTGTGAGGTTGAGGGAAGCGGCCAGCTCCATTCGGTCTTGCACGCTCAGGTACTTCTGCCGTTCGAAGCTTCGTTCGAGCTGGGCCAGCTGGTGGTCAGTGAAGGCTGTTCGCGCCTTCCTGGGTTTCTTCATCCGAACGTGATGCGGACTGTCCCTACTACTCGAGATCTCTCGGTCTCCTTCCTCTTTCACTGCAAACACAAGAATAGGACAAATATGAAAAACTCAAATTTACAACAATATCTCAAATGTTCATAAAGCCTAGAAAGTGATGGGTAGGGCCTAATCAAAAATCAATATAGGGCTCGGTTATAGGCTATATGCCCATTTATGAAAAGGATTGGGATTTCGTTTAAATTCTACATTTACAAATGGACGTAAGCCTATTTCAAAGTTTAACTTTTTTATACAACTTCATAGCCTTGTTTGGGTGTTGTGTTGGAGGACTTTAGTCCACTCTCCATTTGATTAAGATTGCGCCTAGTTTTTATGAAGAAGTAGCCTAGGACTATCTACAAATGAAAATATTTTTTTTTTATTAGCACATTGTTTTTGCAATTGGATGTGTGTAACATTCCCCTTTGTTCTATTATTTCCTTTGCTGTCGTGTTGGGGTTTGAACTGTAATATACATTTCTCAGTTTATTCTCCCCCGTACCCTCCAAAAAGAGGAGACGCGACGTGAGAGCTCTTGCTAGTTGAATAGTTGAGTCGTCTCTCAAGAAGCACAATAATCCGGCTAATTGAGCCACAAGGGATGGGCGCCTTTCAACCGCGACCGGAGAAACTTCACAGGGCCGCGGATGAGAGCGAAATAAAGAGCCGGCCGGCCTTGCGCGTTACAAATCTGATTAGCACTGGGACAAATTGCATCAAATCCCCAAAATATTAGGAGGCGGATTCGCTGAAATCAAAGCAGCATACTACTCCCTACGAGGGCTTTGGAGCTGAATTGACTGCGTTGAGATGACAATCTGTCACACACACACCACACACACCACACACACACACACACACACACACACTGTATCCAAAATATATTGAGGTTATTTATGTTCATGATCCTTTTTTAAAACTGAGGTGTCAGGACTTTTTGTAAAACCCTTGCTATAATGGATTAATATAATAACATTGTTCACTAGTAGGCTATAAATAACATGTAAATTATATTATTCACATTAATAAATAGTCGAAAGATTATTATTATTAATAATAATAATAATACAATAAATACATTATAATATAGGCCTATCCTTATTATACACTTTTACTGTAAACTGGCATTTTCTTTTAATCAATAAGGAGGGTGGATATATTTAGGGTTTTTGTTATATAAGTTAATCAAGTCAATATTTAGTAGGCCTATTGTATTTTTGTTTTATATTTCTAAGCACATTTCTATTTACTATTTCCTGCGAGCAGGAATTGTCCTCGCCTATACCAACGGTTCACTTATTTGTATCCAGGCGCTGCTTCATTAAACTGTCAATGGAGATGACATGTCTGTTATGGCTGACATGATTGGAAACAGACAGACCCTTGATGGCATTTATCTGGAGGCAACCCTGTCATCTTTTCCCATGCAGCTCTTCTCTTGCCTCCCTGACATCAACAGATGCTTTCAAGACGTCTGCTAATGCAAGCAAATGCGTCTGAAAGGAAAAACGGTTTGACACCTAATGTTTATCCTCCAAATCATTGGAGAATATCAACAGTTAAGAAAATAATAGGCTAGTGTCATCCTTTATAGGCCTACTGTAACTATAGCCAATCTGATAAAGAGCTTTAGTGTCCAGGATAATATTGTTGATCAACTTTCACCATTTGCTAGCATTTTATTTATTTATTATTATTATTGTTATTATAATTGTTATTTTTATTTATTTATTTTTTGGGGGGCACACAAACGATTAATCTCTTATTGGGTTTACTGGGATAATGTAAAAGTGCATCATTTAATATTTGATTAGATACATTCTATAGGGGATTCCTTTTGTGCAACTCTTCTAGCCTAGGCTATAGCCTACTTTCCCCAGTTGCCTATTTGCCTTCCGAGGCTAATCACAATTTACAACCATAGCCTAATTAACCGATCACTACACCTTCAGAAACACTTTGAAACCTGGACAGGTGTTTTAACACGTTTGATGATGATAAGAAAATATTGAGTTAAAATTAATGATCTAGCAAATCAACTGCAGGTTAGCCTAATATCTGCATAAAGCTAACACAAATACAACGGATATAGAACAGTAGGAATACAAACATTTCATTAGAAATAATGTGGCAAAGTCTAATAGATTTCAAAACATTAAGCTTGTTTACATCACTCTTTTACCTTTGTATTCGCTGTCTGACGATGAGTTGCTATGGATTTTGTCCATGAAGTCGTCTGCGAGCTTGGAGGCAAGTCGCCCCGTTTCTTGAGTTGGCTGGCCATTACTGGAGTATGGGGCGCAGGCGGCTAGCGGTTTGCAGTCAGCTAGAATATCTCTGATCAGAAAGGATGAGGTGACGGTCCGCGGCTGTGACCCGGCGGAGATCTGTCCGTGTTGGAGATGGGGCGGCAACCCGATAGCATGACCTTGCCTCTGCAATGCCTCATCCACACACTCCCTCCTCGGCGACGGGGGAGACGAGCAGCCGCTCTCTAGGTCAGACCTCGGGCTGAACTCCAGCGGTGACCGGCACTCTCCCACCAAACTGTCCCCTTTCGACATGACCGGACTTCCAGGTCTGTGGGAAAGTAAAGAGTCGATCCCAAAGCTGGACCCATTGGTGGATGCCTCCATTGTTTACCAGCACAGCTAAGTTCTTCGAGGCCTCAACTCAAACTATCATTGGTGTTCGAGGCAAGTTCAGGTGATTGCTGAGATGAGACTTTGCCTCAATTTATCCAGCAGGAAAATCCAAAGATGATTCGGAAATCACAAATATTCAACCAAGAGGTTTTCTCCTCTTCTTGATTGATTGTTATACTTGTCAAAATAGCAACATCTCCAGGTTCTCGACGTTATATAAGAATAGGCTACAAAATCGACCCTACATCCAACTATTTTGTCCTAAATACAGAACAATTCATGAAATCGATGCAGCTTGGCTCTGTTGGCAAGTTTGATAGATTTTTCTGGATCCAATTTTTTCTTTTTAGAAATGAAAACACGCCGGTACGACTTCTAAATTATTTATCAACTTATTTCAAATATTGAGACAAAATCTGCAATGATTAGGGGCAGTGAAGCAGCATTAGTGCAAGTTAAATAGGCAGGCGATTCAGCACAACGTATTGCAGGTGGAATATTGCAGGTGGAATTCAAGACCTGCAAATGACGCAGCGCGAGGACACAATTGCTGAAATTGTCATCACTTAAAAAGTAGTTCGCTGGTGTGACCGGTGCGGCGCTCGATTGTAGAGGAAGGTAGAGGCATTCTGCGCCAGCAAAAAGATGCAACAAGAGTGTCGAAACCGGTGGGCTGCTGCAGTCGAGAAGACGCGCACAGTAAAACAGTGGTAACGCGGGTTAAATAGACACAACTGGGAACTAACGCACAGAGATGTGTGGAAAATCTCAAAAAATGGAACTTGAGGAAAACTCAGGAGCTAGGTTTTTAAGGACGCCCCGTCCACGTGAGTCCCTAGTGACAAGCCTTCATTGGTTGAGGGGGATTTTTGGGTGTTGACGGGTTTGCGGAGAGGAAAGTGGACCCCCCCCCCCCCCACACACACACACACCTACACTCAACCCCTCCTCCTCGCCCCCTCTCTTTGATTAAAAGAGACACTGAATTCATCAGGCGACTCAGATCCAACTGTTTACAGCCAATTTTCACACTGTTTGCTTTCATTACATCATTGATGAGGCTTATAATGGGGTTATTATGTGGAGCTGGTAGGTATTGTCTCTCGTCTCTCTTTACGCGCGTGTTCAGTCAATACTTTACAGGCTTTTTTTTTTTACATTATCGGAATTTTCCCACCTTTGCATTTATTGACAAGGTTCAAAATTTAGGTTAATTGTTTTTCAATTTATGTTCACGTTGTTTTATGAATATCAAAAAGCTTTTATTGACGTTAGTTGACACAGATCAGCTGTTATATGCTGTTGCATCGGGTGTATTTTTCTGGTTCAAAATATATTCCGAAAGGAATTGTATATTGTATATTATTATTATTATTATTATTATTATTATTATTATTATGTTGTTGTTGTTGTTGTTGTTGTGTTACTGTTATGAGGAATGCATATCATTATAATTTTTCAACATACTTAATGTAGCCTACATTCATTTCTAATGAATTGAGGACGCAGCCAGTGCTATTTTCTTGAATTTCACCCTGTAAAGTCAACGTTTCAAAAATCATTATATTTTCTCGAATAAATGTGTTGTTGTTGCGCTATGCATCGAGAGCAAGTGAATTTCATACATTAATAATTGGGCCTCAAAATCCTACTCCACACACTTTTCTGGGAGAGAACAAAGCACCAGCATCGAATAGTCAACGTTTAGCTCATAATACGTATCTAATAGTAATACAATGCTAATGAGGGATAATAGTCCGAACAGCATGCGCTGAAAGGATGGCGTGACGCAAACTTTAACGTGCATGACATACCATTGTCTACACTTTCGCTTCTTTTTCCAAAACAGTTAGCCCCACATGACTCCCAGACAGGCCCTAATAATCGAACCCCCCATGTGACCACCAGATTGGAGGCGCGCGTCGGTCTCAGACACCGGCAGGTTAGTGAATCCGCTCCCCGCTCCCATGGGGTCCTATCGCGGCTGCAAGCTGTCACATTGAGGCGGGGACAGAGATGGGAAAGAGTAGCCTACACACCCATCCTGACGTTGCCTTTCTTAACAATTGACTTGGGCTCCGGAGGTGGGTTATGGAGATTGCTTTCGAACAACTCCTCTTCCTTGCCATATTTTCGAAAATAAAAAGTAATGGCCTATATATTTTTGTTGGTCTATCCATTTCACGAATCAAATCTGGCATGTGTTTACAAAAATGGATGTAGTTTATAATCTTCAGATTAACAATTACATGGCTAATATATAAAGTAGCCTACATAAAATCGTTACAATAGTATGCAAAATAATTCAAGTGGATATGCATTGCTGCTCCAAATGGGATTGGATCTGTCTTTTGTAAAAATGTGAGTGATTACATTTGTAAATTGATATTTTGAAGCTTCCCTTGCAAGAGTAATTTAAAGTAATTCTCTGTACACTTTCCCACTTTATCGAACAATTCCTCACAAGGGAATGAGACTAGACTGTAGACTTACTTATGGTGTCTTGATCTCTCAGTCATTATGTTCTACTGCAGTGCTGCACTTGTCCTTTGCAGGTGTATGGATGGCCAGCTGTACACAGCCTGTGTGTGTGTGTGTGTGTTTGTGTGTGTGTGTGTGGTGTGGACGTGTTTAACTACTCATGTGGTTCCAAAAAGAGTAGTAAAAATTTTTTTTTGGGACCAACTGGGGATATTTTCTTTGTCCCCACGAGGTCAAATGCTACTTCTAGGGGGTTTAGGGTTAAGGTTAGAATTAGTGTTAGGGTTAGAATTACGTTAATGCTTATGGTTAGGAGCTAGGGTTCGTTTTAGGGTTAGGGTTAGGAGCTAGGGTTAGGTTTAGGGTTAGGGTTAAGGTTAGGTTTTTGGGTTAGGGTTAGGGTTAAGGTTAAGGTTAGGGTTAGGGTTAGGGTAAGGGTAAGAGTACAGGTTAGGTTTAGGGTTAGGGTTAGGGGTTAGGGAAAATAGGATTTTGAATGGGACTGAATTGTGTGTCCCCACAAGGTTAGCTGTACAAGACGTGTGTGTGTGTGTGTGTGTTTGTGAACGAGAAAGATGGGTCTGCAGTGTAATGACTTTAGCTGCTGGTTTTGAACAAGTGTCTGGTCAGAGGAAGCAGAGATTTGCAGCCAATGGAATGACTGTGAGTCAGTGTTGTTGATATCATAAATCCCCAATATGTGGAGGATGAATTTCAGATGAAGTGTGTTTGTGTGTGTGTTAATGTTTGAGAGATCTAATGCATATGATTTGCTATGATATGATAACCCTTTCTGTCTAAAATGGAAAAGATTGTGGTCAAATAGGACATTGTGGATAAAACCCAAAATATGTGTCTTGCGCACACTCTTTGGGTGGTTGTCAATTGTTTGTTTTATCAAGGTCGGCGTCACAGGTGTAAGTACTGCTAAATATGGTCTGTCCATTTTTTTCAGTTTAATTAGCCTAACTAATAATTGTGTATTTGAATAATATGTGCATAACCAATGGTTTACCATGAGGATTCTTTCATTTCAATAAGGGGTGAAGTTAAAAAAATAAATGGTTTCCTCATACTGTAGAAAGTGCAGCTGAAATGAAGAATATTTATACATCTAGACTAGCTGTCACTTATATTAATTCATTTTGTTTCTGGACACTTACTCATTTCTGCTGCTACAAAGCCCACTCCATTGTGAGTAATAACACCTACTGGGGCTTATCACTCTGGGAAATGTGGTTAAAAAAAACAATGTGGAACTTTTTATTTATTCATTTGTTATATATATATCTAGATTTGGTTTGTAAAATATGTCTCGCCTTTGGATAAACTTTGGCATCTCTATCGTTTTGGAACATAGAGTAAAACATTGCTTTCAAGAGGAGATATGTAAAAAGATGACTTTACACAACAAACAAATAGCATAAAAAAAAAAATGGCAGGAATGGGCACACACCTGGACCAGTCAGGGATGCAAATTATGCACCTTAAAAAGACTTGACAGAAAATAATGAGAATCGCTGAATCTTTTATAAGGTTAACACTCACATTTCCCAGTCAGCTGTCACACAAGAAAGAATTTAGCACACGCATGCGGGCGAAATAAACCTTCATCGTCTCATTAAAGCTGACAGGGCCCAGGACCGGCAGCTCTCAGCGCCAGGCAGCGCGCCACCTCGTTTTGTGTTGGTAATTTGCAGCGGAGACAGACCTCTCGCCACCAGAAAGAGAGCAGTAGAGAGAGGGAAGGTAGAAATTACGAGGAGTTCAAGAGTGAGGGAGAGGGAAGGTGGGCCTTGGGGGAGGGTGGAAAGATGGCTAGCACGCCAGGAGTCTGATTCTCCTCTAATTGGAAGCATTGGGCATTGTCAACTGAGGATTTTCAGACAGTCACTGACAGGTAGAGCCGTCAGGTTGATAGCCCACTTGTCAGCCCAAAAGACCAATACAAACAAACCACTTTTGATTTAATTGGAGAGGCCTACCTTATAACTGTGTAACAGACTGTTATGGATGAAGACAGTCAAGACAGTCATGAAAATATACAGCTGACTGAAGACTGGACGCTGGGCATTTGTGTGGTTGAGTCCGTTTCTGCGGTAACATGGACTCTTAACAACATGATGAAACGTTGTTGCTTGTTGCTGAAACAAGCAAGGTGTTGTAGCAAACAAGTCTTCGGTTGCCTAGGCAATGCCCCGCTACCTGCAGCAACAGCACACATATAAATAGAATGAATAGAATGTGCTTGGAACCTCTAACCCTGGCAATTCGACTTGTAAACTCATCATGGGTACACTCTCAATGGCTGCTTGGTATTGTGATGCAATAATTTCCATGGTAATGTAGAATGTTAATTCTAATGATGTTAACTGATGTGGCTCATACAATGGAATATATTTTTTGTAATGCCAGTTGAGATGAATCAACAAATCACAGCACATATTGATGGATACGCTTCCTGCTTTTACTTCCTGCTTTGCTCCTATGGGTACACTCGCAATGGCCACCAGTCCACCCATTATGCCATCATTGGGGCAACTTGAATGGGGATGCCCGTTCTATTCATCTTTATTTCTATGGCAGCACATGCAGTCAGGAGCGGAGTGGAGTGGAGGAGAGGAGAAAATGTGATATTTTTTAAACTTTATTTGTATATTCTGTTTGATAGTTATTGGCAAGCCAAATGACCGCGGTCACTGTAATAACCGTCACCCAGAATTCCATGACTGACACAGCCCTATGTGTGTGTCAGAGTGAGTGAGTGAATGGGGGGGATCACTGAAGGGCAGGGGTAAGGGGGGCATGTGTGTGTGTGCGGTTCGGTCTGTCTGTGAAAGAAATCATCACTCTAGCCTTCAGTTGTTCTCCCTTCATCCCCTCACTGCCCCTCTCTCATCCCTGGTCAGTCAGATGCCAGGCGAGAGCCAGGAGAGAGTTAGGTGGTCAGCAGCTGCTGGCCTCCCAGGGCATCAGGGTTTCAGGAGTGGAGACAGGGTTTGATTCAGTCCCAGGGGGACTCCTGGCCCGGGGTTATGCCATCAGAGCAGAACTCAATGAGTGATTCCTTTCTAACATAGGAGGGTTGATACAGTACTGTCTATGAGACCAGGGAAAGGCTGACCCAGCTATGATGACATGCCTTTCTACACAGAGCAGTGGTCAGCAATATTGATTACAACTTAGAACCAGAATCAACATGATGACTATGTGTACAGTATGTGTGAGCTCACTTGATAGAGTGAGTGACTTATGAGTAAATGTGAATGTGCGGTATGTGC